GACTTGTACTCTTCACAGTCCCCTAGGTGTTAAGGATGTTCTTTGCTGTTGATGGGACAACAGATTCCTGACTCTGGTGTTCGTAGGTAAGCGAAGGCTGAGCTGCATTTCAGATGTATGTTGCTGACAGTTTTAAGTAAATATTCTGTTGCTGCTTTAGGCCTAGATTCTGTGCCCTCTTCCCTCACCTTGAGATCCACACTTGGATTTTCATCTCTCACACAGAACAGGGCTAAACTCCTTCTGTAGTACTGTTCCCATGATCTAAGGAGGAGGAGGATCTGAATTCAGGGGCAAGCCAGTGGGGGACACATCAAGCATAATCTGTCATGGCAGAAATGATAATGCAGTCTGGAGAGACCATCCCCAAGGGTTCTGGAGGCAACCAGAACCATGGTACTGTGCTGCCTGAGAGCTGGAAAGGACCGGTGAGGTCCTAGATCCAGAAGTTTTTGTGGCAGTCTTTTCTGGTTGTAGAGCAGGGGTAGGCAACCTTTGGCATGCGAGCCAATTTTCAGTGGCACTCACACTGCCCAGGTCCTGGCCACTGGTCTAGGGGGCTCTGCATTTTAATATAATTTTAAATGAAGCTTCTTAAACATTTTAAAAACCTTATTTACTTTACATACAACAATAGTTTAGTTCTATATTATAGACTTATAGAAAGAGACCTTCTAAAAATGTTAACATGTATTACTGGCACGCGAAACCTTAAATCAGAGTGAATAAATGAATACTCGGCACACCGCTTCTGAAAGGTTGCCGACCCCTGTTGTAGGGGAAGGGAGACCAGTGCATAACCTGTACCCCTGCAATAAAGGGGAATTCTAGGAGCAGAAGATATTCTCTCCTAGAGTGGGATTTACTGTAGAAGGGCAAGCATGACCTGACCCATAGATCACAAACAACATTTTAACAGTTTATCAGTTCATCTTAAATTCCAGTGAAAAAAGGCTTTTGTTTGGACTTAAAATTCCTCTGCAGTTTCTGAGCTGGGGTTTTGCAGTTTTGTGCTGGCGTATGAAAACCAGACTGTGAAACTGACTAGAGACCATTTTCATTTCCCAAGTAGTTTATGAAAGCAGACTCAAAGAGCTTGGCTTGTTTAGCCTAACCAAAAGAAGGCTGAGGGGAGATATGATTGCTCTCTATAAATACATCAGAGGGATAAATACAAGGGAGGGAGAGGTGTTATTTAAGTTAAGCCCCAATGTGGACACAAGAACAAATGGCTGTAAACTGGCCATCAATAAGTTTAGGCTCAAAATTAAGCGAAGGTTTCTAACTATCAGTCAAGTTCTGGAACAGCTTTCCAAGGGCTGCAGTGGGGCCAAAAAAATGAACTGGCTTCAAGACAGATTAATACATTTATGGAGGGGATGGTATGATGAGATTGCCTACAATGGCATTTGGCCCATTGGTGACTGCCAGTAGCAAAAATCCCCAAATCCTGGAGATTTTAGACACTAGATTGGGAGGGCTCTGAGTCATTACAGCAAATTTTTTCCCAGGTATCTGCTTGGTGGGTCTTGCCCACATGTTCAGCTTCTAACTGTTCGCCATATTTGGGGTTGGGAAGGAATTTTCCCCCAGGTCAGATTGGCAGAGACCCTAAGGGTTTTTCGCCTTCTTCCGCAGCATAGGGGCACGGGTCACTTGCAGGATTAAACTAGCGTAAAAATGGTGAGCTCTCTGTAACTTGAAGTCTTTAAACCATAATTTGAGGACTTCAATAAGCCAGCCAGAGGTTAGGGGTTTATTTCAGGAGTGGGTGAGGTTCTGTGGCCTGGAATGTGCTGGAGGGCAGACTAGATGATCATGATGGTCCCTTCTGACCTTAAAGTCTATCTCTCTATGAGATGACATGGAAAAAAGTCAACAAACAACAGAAATGACTAAGTGTCAATTTTTAATCTCATTTCTTGTAACCAATATTTATTTTTTCCCTTAGAAACAGTGGACCTGATCCTGCAAACCTCTATTGAATGAGGAAAATCGAGATCTCAAAATCTCTTCTGAATTTTCCCATTGTGAGTCAATAAGGTTTTATTTATGATTTTATCTTACAACCGAACCCTCCACTTACTTTCAAGTTTAGTCAGCCCCACTAAGTAATGGAGTAATAACAGTTTCACTAGAATTCCGATTCCTGTAATGCTGGCTCAGTATAGCACAACCATTTGGAATCTCTCTTGCTGTGTATTTTTCTTTTCACTGGGACAACAATTCTAAAAAACTACCCTTAGCACCTTGAAGATTGGACACTTACTACTTTAGCTTAACAGCTCGGTGTAAGAATCTAGTTGCAGACTTCAAGAGCAGCAGATTAAAGTATCTGTCATATTTTCAGTTCAATGTGACTAATTAACAACAGTTCAGTATTTTTTTCTATATTAGGGATATTTCCTGTTTTAATCATACCTTAACTTTGTAGTAGCCTTCACATGATGAATCTGCTGTTTCATTCATAAACACTTTCCCTTTTTTGTGAGTAAAAGCATCCCAGATACTTGGTCCTTTCCCATCCTTGTCCCAGGCTCCTTCAGTCTGGTAGGCAGAACTGCCGACACCCCATAAAAATCCTAAAGGTAACAACAAGTACATACATTGATGACAATCTGGAGACTAAACCTCAGAAGTGGCTTTAAGGACTAAATTTTCATATGTGTAAGTAACTGGGATGCCCTCAGAATGTTGCATCTGAGTGTGCAAAGTAGGTGGTTTTGTGTCTAATTAAACACTTTACACATACGCATACACACACAAATATATGTGGTTTTGCACATGCAAACAGGCACTTGTGTAAATTTTTTAGGTGCATTAATGCAGTGTGGTTGAAAATTGGGCCCTAGACTGCAGTCACTTTTTTTACTATGTAAGATACCAGTTTTCCTATATACCAAGGAAGGTTTAAATATAACGGGCCTGAGTCTCATAAGACCTCTTTTTATCCCTTAAACTGGTATTAAACCCATTAGAGGGGCTCTGCATTGGCAAAGTGGTATATTAAAGAGCTTTACTGTAAAACAATCAGGCTCCAAATCTTTTTTTACATGCAATATTTTTCTATGAGTTTTTCAGTGAAAATGTATTTGGCTATGTTAACATAAAACATAACAAAGGGACCATTCCATGGTAGGGATTCTAATCTTATTTTTTCAGTGTCTTTTAGTAAAATGCAATTAATCCATATTCACAAATTACTTCACAGATATGAAGACAAAATCTGTGCCTAGATTTTTTGTTTTGTTTTTTTAAAACACTTGTTTAGATTGAATAAAAAACTGTGTGTATATTTGACAGAAGGGGTAGCTGTTCATGGACCAACTTTTGATGGTGAATCAGATGTAATTTACAGCTTGAAACAATCCCCCTCCCGGATGATTCATTCAAATTACATAAGAACATAAGAATGGCGATAATGGATCTGACAGATTGGCTGTTTAGCCCAGTATCCTGTCTCTGACAGTGGCCAGTGCCAGATGCTTCAGAGGGAACGAACAGATCAGGGCCATTTTGAGTGATCCGTCCCCTGTCACCTAGTCTCAACTTCTGGCAGTTGGAGGTTTAGGGACACCAGGAGCATGGGGTTGTGCCCTGACCATCTTGGCTAATAGCTATTGATGGACCTGTCCTCCATGAACTTACCTAATTCTTTTTTGAACCCAGTTACACTTTTGGCCTTCACAACATCCCTTGGCAACAAGTTCCCCGGGTTGACTGTGCATTGTGTGAAGAAGTACTTCCTTATGTTTGTTTTAAACCTGCTGCCTATTAATTTCATTGGGTGACCCCTATGTAAAGGAATAAATAAAACTTCCTTATTCACTTTCTCTACACCAGTGGAGATTTTTAGACCTCTATCATATCCCCCCCCTTAGTCGTCTCTTTTCTAAAATGAATAGTCCCGATCTTTTGAATCTCTCTTCATATGGAAGTTGCTCCATGCCCCTAATCATTGTTGTTTTACTTCTCTGCACTTTTCCAATTCTAATATATCTTTTTTGAGATGGGGTAACCAGAACTGCACCGAGTATTCAAGATGTGGGTGTACCATGAACGTATATAGTGGCTTTTATTATCCCTTTCCTCATGGTTCCTAACATTGTTAGCTTTTTTTGACTGCTGCTGCACATTTTGCAGATGGTTTCAGGGACCTATCAATGCTGAGTCCAAGATTTCTTAGTGGTAACAGCTAGTTTTACTCCTGGGGGAATTCTGCGCCACTGCGCAATGCAGAATTTTGCGGACATTAACATTGTGCGTGCAGAATTCCCCCCCACCCCGAAATGGGCTGCAGTGCTGTTGGCTGCCACTAGGGGCTGCTGGACCTGGCAGAGCCTAGCACACACATAGAAGACACTGCCAGGGGGAGGGGAGGGAGTTAGAGAGCTCCTGGCAGCTACAATTCCCAGTACGCCCCGAGGGAAGGAGAGGGCAGTGCGCAGGAAACTCCACAAGACTGGGACCAAGCATCAGGCTGTTTCTCCCTCTGGATCCCTGGGCTCTGGGGGAGAGGGGGGCAGGTGTCTGGGCTGGGGGGCACAGCTGGGTTTGAGGGGGGAGGGGTACAGCTAACTGGGCAAGGGAGGGCCCTGCAGCTGAGCTCTGGGAGGGAGGGCAGGGTATTTGGTCCGGGGGGAGGGGATTCATGTGTATTGGGCTCTGTATTGTTACAGACATACTTGTTGACAGGTATTTTGAAATAAATTTCCAAAATAATTGAAACTGGCGTGATTATGTGGTGTTATTTTGACAAATAAAATTTGCAGAATTTTTTATTTTTTGGCACAGAATTTTTAATTTTTTGGTGCAGAATGCCCCCAGGAGTAATTAAATTTAGACCCCCTCATTTTGTATGTATAGCTGGGATTATTTTTTCCAGTGTTCATTATTTTGCACTTATCAACACTGTATTTCATCTGTCATTATGTCACTCAGTCACCCAGTTTTGTGAGATCCTTTTGTAACTCTTCGCAGTCAGCTTTGGACTTAACTGTCTTGAGTAATTTTATATTGTCTGCAAATTTTACCACCTCACTGTTTACCCCTTTTTCAGGTCATTTATGAATATGTTGAATAGTCCCAGTACAGTTCCCTGGGGCACCCTGCTGTTTACCTCTCTCCATTGTGAAAACTGACCATTTGTTCCTACTCTTTGTTTTCTATCTTTTAGCCAGTTACTGATCCATGAGAGGATCTTTCCTCTTATTCCATGACTGCTTACTTTGCTTAAGAGCCTTTGGTGAGGGACCTTGTCATTTAGTTCATATTCATTTAGTTAAACTGGGTTTTTAAGAGAGCATTTGAAAGGGTTTTTTTTTAATGTAGCTCTGCATTTCCAAATTCATTGCAAGTAATGAATAAAAAATGATAGGCCTTCACTGTCAGATTCATCATAACCTTGTAGTTTGTTTGGTCACTTACACCACAGGAAGGTCTGCGTGTAAACACTCTCAAAGCAGAGTGCTAGCATTTTACACCCAGTTTGCTCTAGTGTAAGTGACCACACAAAATACAGAGCAAAGGTCCGTGGAGTGTGTTAAATGCATTCTACAAGAGGCTTTGGTGAGGTTGGAGTTTCACTTCTGCCTTTTCTCTCTGCCCTGAATGGCTCTGTATTATGCATATAATCCTCTTCAAAAGGAGAATCTTTTACCAACTTTCTTGTACTAAACAAGAATGGGCCTAGAATATTATAAAACCACAGACAGATATAGATTAAAAGTACCAGTTGGGAAAGTGCCATAATAGAAGGAGCCAGGGTTATTCTTTGTCCATTGGAAATCCTCAGCTGTATTCAGACACCGCACGAACCCAAGCACATACCACACTTTCAAAACATACGTCTTCATCACTATTAGTGTCCGCACTGCAAAATGTCCACTTCAGAACCCCACCTGATAAAACAGAAGCATCGTTGGTGAATGTTGAATCTCATTCACCCAGAAGCATATTGTCATTGCTGACAGGGAACCCTGATTCAGAATCTGCAGGCTCAGGGGGCTTTTAAGGCTGATACAGGGCAGGTGGAAGATTGATCTAACCTTCTGCCAGGATTCTGAGGGTCAGAAAAGGGCTGAGTGCAAAATCCCTCCCATCAGAGTTACTCCCTGGGGGAAAAAAGTCTCTTTGTTGAAAACTTTTGGTTTGGATTTCAAATTTCCCCTGCCATGTCTGTCACTCATATCCTGCACATTGTGTTAGTGCATGATAGCCAGAAGGTGAAACTCATTAGACTTACATTGTCCACACTGGATAAAGTATGTAACAAGCTTCATATGCTTTTTAGATTTTTAATTGTTGCAGTTGTAGAAATCTCAGCTCTTACCTTGACAGCGTTCCTTTAAACATATTCCAGCATTGATTTAAAAGAGTAGTATTTATATCCTGAAATTAGTTCTAACTGGTGTGGTTCTTGGCTGCAGAATCAGGCTTTCCTATAGCGGGTGCTCAGTTATGCCCATTACAATTAAGCTTGCAAAACAGTTTGTTACAACTTCATCTTCTCACAAACTTAACTTTTTCTAAAAGGTCACCTCTTACATGCCTGATTCTCACCTGATGGTGATTTTTTTGGGAGACTTTGAGGAGAATCCCTTGAGGTGTTTGAGTTTGAAGAGCATAAATATACATTCAGTTTAAAAAAATCGAATCACGCTTTTTTAGCTATAGTTTAAAAAAAATTGGAAGCTTTGAAAGGTGAAACCTGGCCTGAAGATAGCCCTCAGAGTAGTAGGCTCTATGAGCTAAGATCTAGTGCTTCTGTTTTCTTAAAATATTATGGTGCACATTTAAAGTGTCACTTCACACTCATGGGCAGCTAGGTAGGTGCATACTTTTCAGAACCTGACATAAACATTCACAACCTTAAAAACTATTGAAACAATTTTTTCCAAATATGTTCTGCAGAACTCAGTGAGACCTAAATATCAAGCACATTTAAATAAAACAGGGTCATTTTAAAGTTAGGAATGTTTAACATCTGTAAGCCCTGGGAACCCACTCAGCTCAAAGAGATAAATATGGC